GTTAATTTTCAGCTTTTCCACGGGTATCTCAAGTACTAATCATCGCATTTCAATGAAACTTGGTACATAGATCCTTTAGGACTATGCAGAGACCTGATTAGTTTTAGGGTAAATAATTGTGCATATTAATTACCTATTTGCATAATTAATTTTCAGCTTTTCTACTGATATCTAAAGTACTAATCATCATATTTCAATGAATCTAGAATTATGCAAGACCCAATTAGTTTCCGGTAAATATTTGTGCATATTAATCACCTAATTTGCATAATTAACCAACTTTCACACTGATATCTCAGGTACTATACATCACATATCAATGAATGTACATGGATGCTGTAGGACAATAGACAGACCTGAATAATTGTGGGTTAAAATCTGTACATATTAATTACCTAATTTGCGTAATTAACCAATTTTAATCTTTCACACTGATATCTAAAGTACCGTAAAAACTCCAAAATTTCGACTGGTTTTAAATAATTTGTGTTAGAAATGTGACGTGTTTTTAGAGTCAAAATTAAGGTGCATTTTCGGACGGTCGAATTTTTCAGAATAGAAATCAGCAAAAAAAATGGGGATGATAGACAGTGTGCTTCATTAGTTTTTAAAAAATGCAATGTCCGTCAATTGACGTAAACTTCCTCATGTTTCACGGTAAAAGCAAAGGTCGTGGCCGAGTTGTAACTCAAAATCTAAACAAAGTCATCAATCAACAAGTAACCTGTAGAATACTGTGTGGGTAATATTTTTTATATTGATTTTTGTTGCATTTGCAGCAAATAGTTACCAAACAATGAGAAATCTATAGGATTGAATATACCCCACAGCTGGCTTCACATGCATTGTTCATAGTTCATATGGTGCTTACACCAAGACTTAATTACAGCACCTAGGCGGTATGTGGTTACAGCTTAATGTTCGAGTAATCGCAGAAATTGACATGACATAGAAATTCATTAAAGACTGCCACTCCCATGCAATTAACAGCGAGTGAAATTCCTG